TTCCACTGTAACAAAAATGTCTGCCTATAATGGCCCTTTAATCCTGAAAACAAGACCAGGACAAACAAACCATTAAGAACCAGGAGTGAATGTATGAGCTTACCAAATGTTTAAGCCAAAATGAGCACTTGTGTTGAAACATAAACACTCCAATTTGTCTATTTCCTAATGTCAGCCAGTCATCAGTGCATAACAGCAACCGATTAACAAACCATACAGCAAAAAGAAATACATTTAACCCAGTTGAACTATTATTGTCCCTAGTGAATAACAGCTGTGGTCTGTGTTGTAAAATGCAGGGTTGGGTTCATCGGCAGGTCTCCGGTTTATTGGCCAGAGCAGCCTTGCTGTTCTTCACCCAGATTGAGCTCTTTGTTCGTTGTCATGGTATCACGACACTTGATTTTCCCATGGACACCACAGATTTTGGAATAAGACTTAGGTCTGACTGTTTTATTTTTGAGAATCCACTCCCTATAAAGGAAAACTAGTCATGTTGGTGCACATAAGTCCCAAAATGAGTGTCATCGTTGGTTGTTTGAGCATGTGGCACTGACACTTTGGCTTTGAGGTGTAAAATTGTAGTTGACCTGTTCCAGTTAGCCAGATGTGCACAAAAGATTCACACGTGAGTATTTATACTTGTTCAGATCAATTTGATCACCTCCTAAATGAAGCTGCCTCAGATGTTTTGATGCTTCTCCAGTTCTCCAACTCCAATTATGGTTGATAACTTAATGATATGGCCAATAACTGATAAATGGCTGATGTTAAAATTCTATAGTAATTCGTTAAAACACTAAAAACTAAAATCAGTTATTTTAAATGCTCCTAGACAACATTATAATGTACAGTATGAAAATTAATTATTCATTTTGAGATGTGATAAAGATTACATTTAACAGTGTTATTAAATTATTAGTGTTTTTAAAGATTAACTTTAAGTGAACGCTACATGATAGCAAAGGTAATCCAAATATAAAATGATAGAAGTGAGTATGCGCTATTAAATACCAATATTGGCAAAAAAATATATATATATTGTCTAACGACTGTTATATCATGAATCCCTACTTTTTTTCCATGTGTTCTTGCTTGTATTGTTGAATTGCACTAATAGGAGGTTTTCCAAAGGGTCTTTGGTAATTGCTGACGTAAAGCATTTGTCTAAGTGCAGGATTTAGTTAGGGTTTAAAGCCATTTACTCTGGCTGAATGTATGGCAAGGTCAACACTCTAATCAGGGCTTCGGTCACACAAAGGCCAGTTTTTGACTCTAATAAATGAGCCCAGCACTCCCACGATCCCACCCCGCTGCAGTCTGCTGACCGTATCTTGGGGTTGCCCTCTTGCCCCTCTCATTTTCCAGTCACTTTTATAACTTCAGGGATTTCTCTCTCTCTGCCGATTTCAGCTTTGGCTTTCAGCTTGCCTCCCTCCCTCAACTCTTCGTGTTGCCTCCCCCCAAGCCTCCCTTCCCCCCCTGGTTTGTGTGGCCAAGTGGAGGAGGTTATCTCCACAGCCCTGGCTCATATTCGCCTCACTGGAAAAGCCCCGATTTGCACTTCAGGACCCCAGCAGGAAGTCTGTGAGAGGCCTTTAATAGGCAAATGAGTGCAGGGCTTAGGGAACAACAACCTGCCGGCGGTGTGACAAGTGGCGTGAGACCCCATGCCTCACGCCCAGAATAGCCCTTACGTGGTCAGGGAGGCCGAACATTACGGGGCAGCACTGGCTTTCACGTGATGGTGACATTGTCAGGCTATGTTGTAATTGGCCTGTGTTAGGGTAGATCTGTTTTTTCTGACACTAAGTAGATAGCTCCTGAAGACCTCGATGAGGTGTGGCAATTACCACCTCGATATCTCCCTCCTACCCAGCTGATGCTCATTTGTCACTGCGTTAAAATCACGTTCCGCTCTCACCTCATCTATGTGATTCTTAGTTGTTTTTTTTACAACCATGCGAGGACGAGGATTTCATCTCACTTCTAAAAATTGAAAGCTTACAGCTCTCAATAATTGTGCACTGGTTTACCCCTGCCTGGGCTTCAGTTTACCCGAATTTAGATTGAGTTGCTCCATTTGGATTACATTTGTGGCATTGGATCTGGATTGCACGTTTTCCCAGAAAGAAGCAGAGAACTAGAGTCACACTTCTCAAAGCTTGCATTTTGCATTCATTATTTCTGCTTTGGTTTTCCTACATGTTTGTTGGCCCAGATTCAGATTAAGTTGCCTATATTTGGATTAAGTTTGTCCCATCGGATTTGGATTTAGGGGTTCTCAGAATAAAAGACAGGAATAAGAGTCACACTTCTGAAATATACATTCTGAATTTAGAGTTTATGCTCTGGTTTGCCCCAAATTGTTTTATTGGTCGAAATTTAGATTGAGTAGCCCCACTTGGATTATGTTTTCCCTATTGGATCTGGATTGCGCATTTCTCCAGAAAGAAGCGAGAAATGCATTCTGCATTCATTATTTCTGCTTTGGTTTTCCTAAGCATTAGTTGATCCAGATTCAGATTAAGTTGGCTATATTTGGATTTAGTTTGTCCCATTGGATTTGGATTGAGCATTTTCTTGGAACGAAAGTCAGGAACACTTCAAAAATGTACATTCTGAACTCAGCTTATGCTCTGGTTTGCCCCAAACTGTGATTTTGTTGGCCCAAATTTGGACTAAGTAGCCCCACTATTGGATCTGGATTGCGTTTCTCCAGAAAGAAGCCAAGTATAAGTTACATTTCCAAAAAATTAAATTCTGTACTCAATAACTGCTGTGGTTGACCTCAAACTGGACTTTTGTTCCTCCAAAGATTCACCAAGTTGTATTGGTTTCAATGATGCTGTCTGTCTGGAATGAGGCAGTTTCGCTGTACCTCGAGAGAATGGAGCACTTCTCAAAAGGAAGTAGGAAACAAGACAAAACAGAACTCCAAATGATGTTGAAAGAACCGCAACCACATGACTCATCTATTCTCAGGTGGCAGTGAAAAAGATACTTCACATTGTCTGTGCCCAGGGCTGGAGACTCAAAGCAGTGCTGAAGGATGGGTGAGAGGAGGGCCAGATCACTCACTGACTCTTTTGTTTTACCCTCAAGCTCAATTGAGCAAAGGAACCCTCCGCTTTGCTCTCTTTCTCCTTTTCCAATGACCCATTAAGGTCTGGCAATGTTAAAGCCTTGAATCGCCACTTCGGTTGCCCAGAAAATTGAACTTGTGCTGCATCTTCATATGCATTTTTTTTTACAATCTTGACAAAGAGTCTTTCCCACAAACAAAGGTACGTTTCTGATCAAATATCAAGCTTTTGTCGATCACAAGTCCTTACACATTTGGGGTCCTTAAAGTGTTGTCCTTACACATTGTGTGGTCCAAATGGTATCTGAAGGAGAAACCTTGCAATTAAAATAAACAATGTTTAGACAAAGCTCCCAGATTAGCTGGAATGACTGCATTAATGACTCTGGGAGGCTAATAAAGCCCTCTGAGGGCGGGAGGTCATTGTTTAAAGCTGACTCCCATACTGCTTTAGCCCCATCTACTAATTCTTATTAGGGTGAGAAGAAGTATATGGCTCGATGTAGACCAACTGTTTTTTTTTTTGTGAAAGCAGAATAAACTACTGATTTACTGTTCAACCTGATCAAAAATGATTTCCTTATCCTTCAATCGACAAAAAATGTTGAATAATGCCATTTTTATCAATTTGTGTACATTTCCTGCAAGGTTATTTAAATGTTTTTCAATTTTCTCACCAAGCACGTGCCTCTAATGCATTGTTTTGCTGACATGGCTGTTTTGTTGTTTGCTTGACAAATTCTTTGTGTCTTTACCTTTGACAAATGCATTTCACTGTTGCAGTTCTCAGCACACTCTTTGAACCATTGCATCAAGTCACCTTTTTGTTCCACGGACAAGGCTGTTACCAATTATTAACAAATCCTACTACTCGCTGCAGACAAAATAGGATCTTGGGTGTGTTGATTAAATCTACTGTGTACATTTACCCTCTTAAGTCATCAGATAGGGTTAAGCTGATGAAACTTGAGGTAACACTTTATGCCAGAATAGAGGGAGATTATTACTATTAGAGGGCCATTTTGGATACATAATGAGTCGTTATGAAAGGTAACAGTTCACAAATGGAACAGTACTGGTTTATTTAAATACCGTTCCTGTTTTCCAAGGTTCTGAAACAAAAGGGTCAACCGAGTGACAAAATTTTGCCATTATCTTGCAAGATAAGGAGAGAGATGGAATCATTGTTAGAGAGCCTGGAGCACCAGGGGAACCCGATCCTCCTGTATTTGCGTTCAAATCTCTTTCACTTCCTCTGAGCCACTTCTCCGCGGCACGCGGTAGGAAATGATCAATCCAGTAAAGTGCAAAACGTCAATCTCCTATCAAGTTATTTAGACCAGATGAGTCCTAAATTCTACAATGGGCCTAAATTCTCAGTTAATCGTCAACCTCCAGCGAGGGGAGGGATGTATGTTCAGGCAAGGCCAACGGACAAAATGCGGACTGATCCCACATTCTTTAGCAAGTGTCCCTAGTTTGCCATTGGTGTGCCCTATCAGTAAAATGGCCCCAATAAAACGGGGAGCGGCAGAAGGGGAGGAAAACGATCCTTCTCCTTACGTCGTACCCCCATCTGCGAGCGTGGCACTTAGCGGTCTCCGGTGTCACGTTAAGAGAGCGGCATCTGCGCATTGTGCGTGGCGAACGCAGCACGCGTGTGGTGTGCGGAGGCACCTCGCCTCTATTATGCCGTGCTCTGTGGTATGGTCCTCTCCACAACAGCATCTGTCACCTTAGGGGGTCAGCAAAGGCCAAGATGAATGAGTCCTGAGAGAATGCCCCTCTCACACCACAGAGCAAATGGCCGAGAAGAGGGAGGGGGCAAGAGGAATGGGGGTAGGGCCTGCTGTTTGTGTATGTGAGTGCTGGAGGGTTTGTGTATCCAGAGCCACTGAGTACAGGACAGAGAAGGTGACTCCGCTGGAGTTCCTGAAATCAGGCATTGCTACCCCGACTCTGGACTATCATAACCAGGGATCTGCTAGCTCGCAACAGGGACAAGGAATACTGTCACGTCGCGCTCAGCCTTGATGCTGCTTTTGGATATCAGAAGGACGTTTGCTATGGAAACAGGCTGTTTGTTTTTGAGTTGCTTTAAGGTCTTGAGTGGGATTTGAGGCACACTCCACACCCCGGCTGCTTATGAAAGGTACAGAAGCGTCATGTTAGTTTCTTTGACACTCACCGGCTCCTGCTAATACGGTGTCAATGGCCCCATTTATTTAAAGATTTTTGCATTGGCTAATCTCTGTCCCATCCCCCTGCTTGAAGTTTTGCTCTTTAAACTCTCTTTCCTTTGGTTAATGTCTCTGAATGTAAACAAAAAAACTAAGTGTGAATTGGTCAGTGATGAGTGCAGATTCAAAACTTAAGTAACAGAGTGTTACTCTTTATGTTTAGATGTACTTAACTGTTGAAATCATGCATTGTGTGTTGCTTTAAGGGTTTGTTTTTAGTCTAAATGTTTGTATCTTATAAAGGGGCTGTTTTTAGACATTGAAACAAATGTAGAATTTGTTCATTGAAAGTGCATTGAAAGCAAGTTGTTTTCTCCCATTGTCATCAGTTTATTGTAATTATGCAGATAAGGAAGGAAACAAAAGAGGGAGTGGATTGAGAGAAAGACAAAGGTATTTAGTGGTACAGTGCAGTGTGTGACTGTGACCACATTTCATCTAAACCTTTTATTTGGCCTTTTACATAGAAATATAACAGCATGCTCTCAGCAAGTTCAGGTGCCGAGGCAAACAAACTTTTACAAGAATAAGAAATCAAAAGATCTGCATTCTGAAAATGTCTATAAAATTGCAACGGCATAAAAATATTTATCATGCTGTTCATTTTTGTTATGAACCAGACAAATCTCTCACCAACTAAGAACATTCTTGCTAAATGTTTTTGTCCTGGTTGCTATTAATTAAACAACCTTTTATATTGACATATTCAAATCTACTTTACAAAGTTAGGTCAAGAAACTAATGTATCAAACTGCATGTGGCACCCAAATAGTGACTGAAATCCCCACGTGTTGTGTCTATTGGACAACATAAGTGTAAAATTGTTCATCTGAGACAAAACAAACATTACCCACAAATCAAACAAACTTGTAGCTTTGCCTAATTATCTGTGTCTGTGGTTTGTTTTGGCTACTTAAAGTGTTGTGTTTCCCTTCTTGGCTATTTCAGGATCCCCTAGTTTATATTTGTACAGCTTTTAGTTTCTTTAGTTGGGGTTGGACATCCTTGAACACACCATTTGTGTCACACCAAGTCCTTGGTTGTCGGTAAACTTATTTTGTTCGTTGAAAGAGGCATGTTCATTGCCTACACACTTTCAGTGTCATATTGAAGCTTCAATTATTTATTTATTTTTTTAGTATGAACTACATTCATTCTCTTCAATTTATTTTTAATAAAAGGGACTTGGTGCATTTTTAGATGTGTCTCCTTATGGAACAAAATTATATGGGAATATACTGCAAAATATAATGTTGATACATGATACATTTCCATATATGGGAAAATAGTGGTTATATTTTTCAATAAACTGCAATATATGCATTGACCATGTATGGCTCTATATTGATACATATAAAATATTTAGAAATTAAGACAAAAATAGCATTACATGTCAAATTAATAAAGTTTTATCCTTTATTGTGCACATATATTGCACATACATGTTTCCATATAAATGTGAATGGATGTATACACATGTATACACACATTCACAGAATGCGTTACAGCAGATTTCAAGTTCCCAGCATGCTTTGCAAATATATTTATATATGTCTATATGTGTGTAAATACAGCATGAGTAAATATATCTGCAATGTATTTATACACATGCAGTACCATATCTTATCACATGCACATCTGTATGTTATGAAGTGAATTACTAAATATAAAATTACATATATTATAATATATAATTAAATATATTGTCACATATTTTTCAATATATGAAAGCGGCTGTATATTTTCAATATACCATTAAATCATTTAATATATTGATCATCCATATATAAGGAAATACAGTGTATATATATATATATATATATATATATATATATATATATATATATATGGGTCATGACTGCTTTTTTTGTATACATTGTAGATAATCAGTCAGGATTAGAAAACAAATTGAAAGCCTGTATGGAAGCAGTAAGAAGTGACTAGAGCTGAAACAGTTTTTGGCCTAAAGGCAGAGCCCTCTGCAGGCATGTCCACATTAGCATTTAACACCCTTTGAATGTCATTAGCAGTTCAAACTGGACCCTGAGAGCCCTGAAGGCAGGACAAAACTATGCTCAGATGCTGCTACCACACTTTTCTTCTGTTTATCACAGTATCAAGATGAGTGATAAGCTGAAACTTGGCCCAACAGGCCTCTGGTGAGCTGTTTGCAAAACAGGGTGTGCTACTTGTTTCTGAGTTATTCAGTTGTGGCATCAATCGACATGACCCATGCGTCACACCAGCAGTTTTCCATGTCAATCTGCAGAGACTTTGTTGGGTTTTTTGTATCTAAAAAAATGGATTTGCTGACCCATATCCATTGGAGTTTCATAGAGGAAGCTTTTCAGTGATTCTGATGGTGAAATGTGCCTCTTTGGACTGTAGTCAGTCTCAATTTTATCCGGTTTTCTTGGTAATCATTCACAAATCTTGCAATGTCCAAAGAAATGCAGACATCTAATACTATATTTAATGTAGCTGCAGTATTTATTTACCAGGCGTGTCACCTGGTAGAGATCAGTAAGCAAATCCATTTTATAACCTAGACTTTTAAAAACTACTAATAAAAACGATTCACACAGTTGTTCATTTTCAGATTTTTTTTAAGTATATAGGTCATATAATCTTTACAAATTTGGGATACTTTTGGCAGAAGTATTTACTGACTGATTGATGGCTTTACTGCATTTCACTCTTGTTTTAACCAGGCCAAAAGAACAAAACCTGTCCCATCAGTCTTTGTGTGAGCCTGAAAGTAGGAGACATGGAGATCCTTTCCTCTGTGCGTTCCACAAACATTCCCTTGAGGTCATAGTGTCTTATAACTCATCCCTCAGTGTTATCAGTTAACAGCTACATATGTTGAAGATCACTGCGATCTGTTCAGCTTTACACACAACTGTCTGATCTGAGATAACGCATGGATTAATACTCACTACATATGATTCTTACTGATTTATACTGCAATGCATTCTCCATTCAGTGCTTTTAAATCCCCATTGCAAATTTCTAATGCTGCATTAATATTTAGATTCAATTGTGCAGTTCAAGCAACTGTTATTCCCAATGGATTGTCCTATCAAGTTATTTATCATATGGTATTTATACTGTAAATGAAGCTCTGACTCTTTGTCTGTAGGTGCAGGAATACTGCGGTTCAACTTTGATACACCATGGAGAAGAGGTGATCCTGTCCTTCTGCAGCTAAAGAAATATAATCAAAGGTATAGCGGTAAATATTTTCCAAAATGGAGTTTATTGTTGCAGCCGTATTATTGCATAATAATCAGATATGAGAGCTGTCTTTGAGGGTTTTTTCATTGAACTTAAAGCGGCAGACTCATTGTCTTGATTGAACTCCCGTCTCATTTGATTTGTGTGTGAGTCCTACTGTTTGAAATCAGGCATTGTAACTGTCCTGATGAAGTATAGCTGTTGACTCTTTCAGGTACTTTCTGCACATGCTCAGGACTATTTGTGCTAGCAATACAGCTGAAACAGATTCAAGGTCTATTCTACAAAAGACTACAAATAGGCCTGGAATTAAAATCTCATCCACGCAGTCCATCGGTTTCATTATAGATTAACCCATGAAACTTCTACTTTGTGAGTTCAAAACTGAACTAATCATGATGTGTGTGGTGTTGTTTATGCAGGACATATTTAAACACAATGAATATGTGAAAATTGTACGTTTTGTTTCAGATCATGGGGAATTCATACGCGGGGCAGCTGAAATCTGCACGCTTTGAGGAGGCTCTTCACAACTCTATAGAGGCTTCATTAAGATCGAGCGGCGGCGACCCACAGCCCGTATTCACACAGCTGTATCTCGAGCCCGATCAGTATCCTAGCAACCTGGAGGGTAATCATTTGCCTTCAAACGAAATGATTTTGATTCATACTTAATCATAAATTGCATTTTTAAGGAGAAACATGGTAGAGATTTTCTAAATCTTAGTCAGAGAAGCTCTATTACATCCATCAAAAAGCTTTATTTATGGGTCATTCCGTCTATAATTTAGGGTACATTTCATGTCCATTGATGATAATAGTTTTTTCTAACAGTTTTCTTCAGAAATATCATATTTTATCCAGTAGAAAGAAAAAATGCATGCTATAATCTCACACATAAATTTTGTGCACCCTGTTTTTCAGTTTCTTTGAAATTGTCTTTATGTCCTTTTAATTACAGTATTTGCCATGTCTGCTTTTTGAACGAGTCTCGAGTTCAAAATAATGAATACAAATTTTAAAGTCAACATTATCTATATTAAATTTATTTCTACAACCGAAATACCATTAGAAAAAAATCAGTTTTCTTTAAAAAAAAAAAAAAGTTTTACTGTCCACAAAAAATCTGTCAACTATGTTACTAAGCAAAAAAATAAAAAATAATAATACATAAAAATCACAAAACCATATGACCAGCATCGTGATTTTCTTCTGCGACCGACTTTTTGAACACTTTGTGGTAAATTATTTCTATACTTGATGTCCAGTGACCTATTGACATGGAGTTTATTGATTGCCTATCAACTATGTTGGGAACATTGTTATGGGTTGCAATATTTTTATGATTTAAATTCAAATGCATAGTACATTTTGAGGTTAAAATTATCAGGAAAATAGCATTTGGTTGGCCAGACAAGGCCTTCCATTGAAAATATGAGTCAAATGGTGAAACTGTGTTACCTGTAAACCCATACAGTTTGTCCATAACATAGTTGACAAACTCACCAACAGGGAAAACATATTTTTCTTTTTGAAATATCAAAATGGTGTTTAATGATTAACACACCTGTTTCTGGTTCTACCCTCCAGATATTAAGCCCAAAATGGACCTGAGCATGAGGTCCGACCTATCCAGCCATGTGCTAGTGAACTGCCAGTCCATCAAATCCACTGAAGATATGGATGACGAGGAGGATTCAGACACCAGCAGCCCACCGTTGCCTTACCTGCAGGGACCCCCTCCTGACGGCTGCTGCACTGTTGATGGTAGGGAAATTGGTAGACCATTTACAGCATGCATTCCGGGTCTTCTGAAGTCATATGTTATGTCACAGTGTTATGAAGAGAGCAAATTTAAAGTGCCAAGTCAGTGTCAAAGTGAAACGTATGGTAATGACATTGCAAAACTAGAGACAGTGGCACTGAAAAATTGTGTAAACAGTAAATCACCGTGTGTTTAGCTACATCAGCGTGGCCAGTTTTCATTATATCGCTGATTCATCTGTGCCCAGGGTTCTGTCAAGCGGGAAAGGATCTGCGCCTGGTTTCCATGGCAACAGAGTCTATCGAGGTTCCCGCGGGGTTTGAGCTGATTGGTGCCAAATCTCCCAGCATCCCAGAGCACATCCTCGTTTGTGCAGTGGACAAGCGCTTCCTGCCAGATGAGAATGGGAAAAATGCACTTTTAGGTTGGTGTTCCAATACAATTCCAGGAAGTTAAAGGGGTCATATGATGCAATTTCAATTGTTCCTTTCTCTTTGGAGTGTTACAAGCTCTTGGTAATCTACAAAACTCACTCTGTCTGTGAAATGTTATGTAAAGTAACAAAATCAGCCATTCAGAAAGCAATATTGAATATATTTTATTGCCTGTTTAGATGCAGTGTAAGTCTTGGTTAGAAACCTTTCTTTGTGTAGTCTTTCTAAAGAGTCTGTTTGTATGTGTGTGTTCGTGAAGGGTTTTCGGGGAACTGTGTGGGCTGTGGTGAGAAAGGGTTCCGCTACTTCACTGAGTTCTCCAACCACATCAACCTGAAGTTATCCACTCAGCCGAAGAAGCAGAAGCACTTAAAGTACTACCTGGTGAAGAACTCTCAGGGTGCTTTGTGCAAGGGAACCCTCATCTGCTGGAAAGGTAGCACACGTACAATGTGCAAAATGCCCCGTGGCACAGATAGAGGAGTGTCTTGAAAATGCTGACGATGTTATTTGTTTAAATTAATATGATTAACGATTAGCAAATGGATTAAGATATTGTATTTAAAGATTATTTCCAAATGTAAAAAAATATGTTTTTGTAAAACATTACATTTTAATGTTGAATAAGTTCAAATCGGAATCAGAATCAGAAAGAGCTTTATTGCCTTGCGTGTGTGATTCTGATTCTGATTCTGATTCTGATTCTGATTCTTGATTCTTGATTCACCAAGAATTTGTCTTGGTGTCAGGAGCTTCCAGTACAGAAAGTACAAACATAATGCAGACATACATATAATTTAAGGTAATAAAAACACTAATAATAAAGAGAATATACAATTAATTATAAATAACAATATAGTAATAAAATATAGATAAAAAGAAAATGTCAGTAGACAGAATTATGAATGTGTTGTATTGTAATTGTAAACTAATACTGTAGTAGTTAAAAATGTATCAAATTAATTTAAACATCCATTTAATTGCTAATTCAAATTTATGCGCATTTGAATTCTATTTTTAAATTAATAAATTAATAATTGATTATTTATTCCATAAAAGGTCAATTATTTACATAGAATATAATATATATAGAGAATTTGAAGACAATTTCCGAGTGTAATTATCAAGTGTAATTGTTTTATTCAGCAAAAAAACATATTTTGTTGTAATATTTTGCTATGTTTCTTAAATAAGAAAAATATCAAATTAATTTAAATATATGTTTAATTGCAATTAAAATTTATTTGCAATTGTATATTATTTTTAAATTAATAAAGTGATTATTGATTATTTCTTCCAGAAATGTTAAGATCTTTTTTTACATAGAATATAGTATACATAGAAGATAATTTCCAATTTAATTATTATTGTTTTGTTTAACAAAACAACATTTAGTTAAATATTTTGCTGCATTTATAAACATAAAAGTAAAGTAAAATATTAAAGTTAAAATAATTTTTTTTAAATGTTTATTATGTTTATATACATTTGCAATTGTATTTTTAATGACTAAATTGATAATTGATGATAAAAGTTAAGATAAATTATATATAATATAGTACAGATAGAATTATTTGTATATAATTTCCAAATTTAATTATCATTGATTTATTTAACAAAAACAAAATTTTTGTTAAATATTATTTTTATTTTTTTTGTATTTGCATTTGTATTCTATTTTTAAAATTAATAAATTGATAATTAATGGTTTCTTCCAATAATGTTAGAATAAATGAGTAACAAAGAATATAATGGAACATGGAATACATGGAATTCCTTGAATATAATTAATTATCAGTGTATTTTTTAACAAAACGTTTTTGTTAATTATGTTGCTGCATTTCTAAACATCAAATAAGGTCAAATGTAAATGTACTTTGCTCTTGTATTCTATTTTTAAATTCACAAATTGATAATTGATGATTCTTTCCATACAAACTATAGAAAAGAAGTACTGTTTAAATTGAGAAAATGGGCCCTGAAATGATCTTATTCTTATGCCTGTAGCAATGAAAAAAAAGAATGTCCCCGATATGTTGTACATCCTTTCCATCCAAACATATTATACATAAAGTTGATACTGAATCTGTTTGATTGGAACAGATGATTCACTTGACATTAACTGTGCATTTTTTTTTCAGACTGTAAGACAAGGCCATTATCGAACAGTGCTTCTTCATCCAAACCTAGTTCCTCATCCTCACTAAGCAGCAAAGAAAATGGAGACACAAATGGCCACAGTCCATCTCCTCTCCCCCTCTCAGGTGAGTGTATGTGTGAACCATCAAATATCACATACCTTATTATACAAAATTCTATGTTTCTCTTGTAAAAACATGCAATTTTAAGCCTCATGCACAACTGAAGCTCTGGAGCACATAAGACAGCATATGCTGCATCTGTCCATCTTCTGCTGGTTTCTGCATGCACAGAGGTCATGTTCTGTCCTGGGGGAGGGTACATAAGGGGGTAGGGGGTGAAACTGGGGGGGCTACTCAGCATTCGGTGACATCTGGCTGGAGGCCACACAGTGTTTACCCAACAGTGTTTAGTGAAAGAAAGAAAAGTCATTGTCTCATTCTTCCTCACAACACCATTCAGAGAGCCGGCCAGCTGGCAGCAGAGTGCGTCCATTAGTGGCAATAACAGTCTTTTACAACGCACAAAACAGGTTTAGGAGAAAGACTCATTATTGTATCGAATTTTGGATTTAAATGCCATATCTTCTTCATTTCCCATGAAGAGTAAAAAAGCAAAGCTGCAATCATAATAAGTTATTCTTTGATCCACAGACTCGCCTCCTGCCCGCATGCGGTCTGGCTCATCTTTAGGGGTTTTCGGACCCCCAGAGCTGGGCTTCCACAAATCGCTGAACACACCGACCCACAGGACCAAGACTTTACCGATCGGTATGAGATATCTGTCTCGTTTTGAATTTCAAGTAGCATTGATTGCTTATAATACCATGCTAAAAAGCTGTATATCATTTGGAAAGGAAGTACAACTTGCTTTTGCATTGAAACGTTCAGTGCAAATTGTTAAAATGATTTTGATGGGTTTTGAATTTAACGATTCAGTGTGCTTGGTGTTTGCTAAAGGAAATGTCTCATTGTTTGGATTAGAAATGTAAACAAACCACACTGTACATTCAGCAGCTGCCCAATTATTATATTTAAAGACCATTTCAGAATTGAATTATCCTTGTTATATTTAACAAAAAAAATTTGTTAAATATTTGAACATTAAATAGTTAAATAGTTAACGTTTATCAAATTAATTGAAGTATCTATTGAATTGGTAATTCAGATTTGCATTTGTATTCTATTTTTAAATGAATAAATTGATAATGATTTCATCCATAAAATTAGTAGATTGTTTAAATAGAATATCATATACATAGAATTATTTGAATATAATTTCCAAAAAAACACATTTTTGTTCAATATTTTGCTACATTTCTAAACAATAAATAAGGTGAAATATTAAAATTAAAATGTATTTGCATTTTATTTCATTTTTAAATGAATAAATTGATAATGAATGATTTCTTCTAGAAGAGTTAGATCAATTATTTATATATAGTATACGTATAGATTTCATTGAATATAATTTACAAATTTATTTATTTATATTTTATATATTTTTAAATGAATAAATTGATAATGATTCCATCCATAAAATTAACAGATTGTTTAAATATAATCTAATATACATAGAATTATTTGAATATAATTTCCAATTTTAATCATTGTTTTATTTAACAAAAACACATTTTTGTTCAATATTTTGCTACATTTCTAAACAATACATAAGGTAAAATGTATTTGCATTTGCATTTGTATTTTATTTTTGACTAATTCATGATTTCTTCTAGAAAAGTTGAATTATTTATATATATAGTATTCATAGATTTCTTTGAATATAATTTACACATTTAATTATCATTGTTTTTTTTAACAAAAACACATTTTGTTAAATATTTTGCTATGTTTCCAAACAATAAACAAGGGAAAATATTCAAATTAAAATGCATTTGTATTCTATTTTTAAATGAATACATTGATAATTAATGACCGACCAAAAATGATCAACTTTGTGGTTCACATGTTGAAAGCTGTTTCATTGTTTGTTTTTCTCTACAAAAGGATAGAATGAATCTCTTCTCTGAAGGTCATTTGTATTGGCTGCTTATGTAACCCTTTTGCAAACACACACATACACACACATTAACTCTTAATACAGAAATTCTGTATTAAGGATTTTAATGTCAGCCCACGCTTCACGATCCCTGCGATTGACGTTTAACACATATGTGCTCTATTTATGTGTGTGTCAGGAATATTAGATGTAAAAGTGGCCCAGCAGTTCATTATCAATATGCCTTCAGTTAAAGGAAATCAATAAACTGTGCTCCACAGGACCCATTATCCTTCAGAAATGAGCGAGACTGAATTTATGTGCGTTGATGTGGTGTTTGCATAGTTTGTCACCAGAAGAGTGGACATTAGCCATTAATGTGTCAAACATGACACTCCTCAGGGCACTTAGGAAATTCCTGAATACATTTTAGTCTGAAATGGTGTTATACAAATTGTGTGTATAAAAGTATATATTTTTTTTAATCAGCATATTAGAATGATTTCTGAAGGATCATGTGACACTGCAAACTGGAGTAATGATGGCGAAAATTCAGCTTTGCATCACAGGAATAAATTAAATTTTAAAATATATTCTAATAGAAAACAGTTGTCTTAAATTGTAATAATATTTCACAATATTACTGTATTTTTGTGATTAAATAAATGCTGCCTTAAAGAGACGTGCCGACCGCTTGTGTATATCTATTTCTCTACACTGTTTTATTGACTTCAAAACTTATATTTTTGTTGTTCAGTTCCTACTGCCCTGCGAGTAAATGGTCTAACTAATGGTCTAAGTATGGATGGACGGTCCAGTCTACTGAGCCCACCACATACAAACCCACTCGCCACACCTACTCATGGCTATAGGACCACAGAACCGGGAGACAGTCCAGGTAAGCATTAAACCAGCCAATCACAATGCTGTCTGATGCATATCATTAGTTGTCAAATCTGTTTTTAGAAGGCATCATCAAATGCAATTGCAAACTATGCAATTTACACTATGCAAACATTTTCCATCCTGTACTCTTTTTTTGCAGCATCCTCTGCTATGTCATCGGGTCCACCTAAAAAGCGTCACCGCAGCTGGCACCCCACCTCTCTCGTCCCCGTCCCGGCCACGGCCGTCCCTGTGCCAGCCATCCGTCCGCTGACGTGTAGCTCTGGTGGGTCTCGACTGAATCATCCTCAGCCTGTTGTTTGTTAATGTGCTTTTTTGTGCTGTTCCTCCAGGCTGTTTATGCATGTCCCTGAGCAGAACACAGCCATGAATTTGATTACCTTCGCTTTTATTTTTAACAAGTACCAAGGGACGTGACATTTTCCATCCACAAGGATGATTTATTCATTGTTTTCATAGAAATAGAGGTGAAAGGTCACGCTAAAGTAGGTCTTGAACTGTTTAGCAGGGTTTATGCATTACAACAACTGAAGGAGTGGAGACTGGAGATCCATCCACTGTGATCATGTAGCTTAGTTACCTTGTCCACAACATTGATTAGAGTGCCACGTTAACAAAGCGTGAGAGACTGAAGAGATCCATCTAAAGTATTATTAGGTTTCCACAATGGCTTGACAGCACATGCTGTATGTTCCAGTACAAAAAGTACATACTTGTAATGTTTTGCTCTTTCTTTTCAGGTTCTTTATTGTCCCTGTCCAATCAGCAGCCTCCATCAGTGTCAGGGGTCATACAACCCCAACCAATCACAGCAGGAGAAACGGTCATCATTCCTGACAATCTTCTGAACTCCTCTGGGGTCCGACCAGTCCTTCTCATTGGTCAGTACTCTGTCTTCATAACAGGCTTATATATTAAATGCTCATACATATAACTGTGTGTGTGTATGTATGTGTATTTATATATTAATTTCTGAATTCATGTTTTCATATTTTTAGTGGGCATAAAGCAAAAACTGTCAGAGTGATGAAACAGATAGATAGATAGATAGATAGATAGATAGATAGATAGATAGATAGATAGATAGATAGATAGATAGATAGATAGATAGATAGATAGATAGATAGATTTGATTGACAATATCAGATATATTAATTTCTGAATTCATGTTTTCATATTTTTAGTGGGCATAAAGCAAAAACTGTCAGAGTGATGAAACAGATAGATAGATAGATAGATAGATAGATAGATAGATAGATAGATAGATAGATAGATAGATAGATAGATAGATAGATAGATAGATAGATAGATTTGATTGACAATATCAGATAAATAATCATATTTAATTTATATTTAAGAACTTAAACAGCAAAGAGTGATAATAAGATAGAGATTCAAAATAAAGGAGAGCTAGTCGCAAACCACTCAGCAACATTTTTGTCAATAAACAAATTACTAACAATATTAAATAAATTATTTTTGTTTTTTTATTTTTAATTATATATTAAGACATTTTTTTTAACAGAACAGCTTTTAACGTAGTTAATCTATATATTAGCAGGAATTATCCTTTATTTTATAGATATTTTTAAATATTTGAAACCATTCAAATTTGGAAACATGCAGAACAAAACTATAAACATCGTGATACTAGCATAATCTGAAATACTATTTTAATATTCATGTCAGTGTTACAGAAATACGTTCATCACAGCACACAATATTACCAGATCTCTTGATTTAATCCATTTTTAAGTGTTTGGATGTGTGTGTGTGTGTGAACTTGTTTGTTTGAATGTTTCTCTCCAGGTCAAGGCACTTTACCGTACTTCTTTGGCAATGTGGGTGATCTGGTGGTGAGCCCCCTGCTGGTGAGCTGCTATAAGGGCCGAGAGCTCAATGAGAAGACCCTCGCCAGTCTGGGCATGTCAGCAAGCCAGTTACTCACCACAGAGACCATGATACTGCTCACACTGCAATACCTCGCTCGGCTGGGTAAATAACACTGACAGACAATAAGTTTTAGTGCATCAATAACATGAATGTATCTGTACACTTATAGATAAGAGTGCACAGCTTGTTAAATGTCTTACTTAAAATGCATCTAGCTCAAGTATTATGCAAGAGCAGTGAGTATTTGTTCTGTAGTGAGATGACCATTCCTTTTCCTGTCTTTAATGCAGGTATGGAGCAGATCCCGTTACGGGAAGAGTTAGAGCAGATTGTACTGAAGGCCATGCTGTGCGGTCCGACCGGCCCTCCCGTGTCTCCCGCCCAGCTTCCCTGGTTAGCTCGAATGGAGGCCAGTGTGTCAGGGGGCGGCGTTCAGGTGCTGGCCAGCCATGGCTCTCTGGGCGAGGGCATCTCTGAGTCGCTGCGCTCGCTGAGTGAAACACCACCGCAGCAGCAGCAGTGTCTGCCCAATTATGTGCTCATTATCTGCACCTCCAAAAGTGGAGCTAATGAGTTCTGCGTGTTAGTGTTGGGTATGTTCTGCTGCTCTCAAAGACTTCATTCTTAAGCCTCGTGCACACCGGGACGATTATCGCGTGCACTTATCGCCAGAGTTTTTTGACGTGTCTTGTGTGTTCATACGCAAGCGATTTTCGCTGGCGATGAGCCGAGTGAACATACAAATTCTCTGCCTGACATTAGATGGCGCTTAATGAAAAACTGAAATACCCCGGTACACATCGAATCCTATTTGATCTGCAATACCTCTCCATAACAACTCCTTCTTATCGAGATTTTTGTAGTCGCTGTCGCGTTTGTCATAAAGCTCTTTGTGTTCATACACCAATGAGACCAGCAGCTCTACATTCATCTTGCCTCGATGCATCTTCTTCGTCTACTTACTTCCTCTTCGGCATTAGGTATCAATGTGTGCTCGGCAAGACCGTTTTTTGCTTGAGCGCCACCAAGTCGTGTTTTACTGTAACTTCAGCAGCTCCAGGCATGTGAACAAAAGCACCAATCTCATTGGTTGGCCAGTTTTTAATGCGGCGCATCAAACAAAAATAAAAAAACGTTTTTTAACGCCTGGCGTTTTGCGCGTCGGTGTGCACACTCACATTGGCGCCCTTTGTTTTTAGTCACGAGGGGTTAAACGTCGGCGATAATCTCGCGTGATAATCGTCCCGGTGTGCACAAGCCTTTAGTTTCAAGTTTAATTTTAGACCAATTTTGGCCTTTCCGTGATATAAGAATGCATTTAAGGAGTTTACACATTGTAAGATTGTGCATGAAAACTCACTCAATTAAGTTGAAAGGTTTGTTTTTGTCACTGTCGTGTTAGTGAACCCGTGCTGTTGTTTTTCTCAGGTAAATATCAGTCTCGAGCTTTGGCGGAGAGCATGCTCACTACCAATGAGTTTCTGAAGGAGATCAGCTATGAGCTCATCACAGGGAAAGTTAGTGTGCTCGCCTCGCACTTCCAGAGCACCTCATTAGGTGAGTCTCAGTGCAGTAATTTAGTGGATCCATCAGTTTTCATCAACTTATCATTGTCCTTTATTTAGAAATTATTTGAAGAATATAGATGTAAGCAGCAGTTTTGGGGCCAAGCACATATTGCAAGGTGAAGTAGATTAGTGCGGTTATTGCGCCCTCTTTGGTGATTTTAGGAAGTATTTCAAAAGCTGAACATAATTTAGGATGAGATTGTAAATTATGCTTTTTTTTGTTTTTTTCAGGATTCTTTGATGAATAGATAGTTCAATAGAACAGCATTTATTTGAAACAGACATTGCTGAATAAAAGTGCTACTTTCTTTAAAAAAAAAACTTTCAGATTTTTTAACTGTAGCACATGCATGTGTCTCCTTTATTCATTTCAAATTGATTGTGGCGCTACAGGTGACAACATGGACAAACAGCTGGTTCGGTACCAGCGCAAGCGCAAAGACCGTGTGGTTCAGCCCTTTCAGGGACATCTGACCGAGTACATCCACTCCCAAGAGGCCGCAGCCATGGTACCAGAATCAGGGCCAGGTGAGCCTTTGCTGTCTCCGTACGTCTCAAACCCTTCACTTGGCCCGATTCATGATAAAACTTTATATTTGGCGCTGGAAAACACTAATTGACTTTTGATGTGTGACAGATCTGCTGAGTGATGGCTTTCAGATACACCCTCCACAGCTGAGTGTTGCACGCAGCCTTTTGTCGCAGGTGTGTGCTATCGCCGACTCAGGGAGCCAGAGCTTAGATCTGGGCCGCTTCTGTAAAGTGGACTTCCTGATTCTAGTGCCGCCGTCCCATGTCCTGGTTCACCAAACAGTCCAGCGAATACGACAATCAGGTACGTCACAGCAGAAGCGACAGTTTTGCCTGTTTCAAAAAAAATATTCAACTTGTTTCCAATGTCAAGCCCAAACAAGAACATTTTCACAAAAACGTCTTGCCTGGAAAGTTAAATTGACAGTTCTCCAATTTAAATTCTGTCAAATTATGTTTTGAAGAATGTGGGTAATCAAATAGTTTTTGGTCCCTATTGACTTCCATAGTATTTTTTTACCCCATACTGTGAAAGTCAATGGGGACCAGCAACAGGTTTGGAGTAAACGATTGGGTGAATTATCCCTTTAATTTGATGAAAGAGTCATTGCAACAATATTTAGGGGCCAAGCACAGAAGGTGCGAAGGCACCTCTTGTATTCGTTAGTTATGAAATTTGGCACACAGATAGAGGGCAGTCTCAACATTAACCATAACAAGTTTGTTGTCTCTTAACTCAAACCCTCTAGTGCCACCAACAGATAGAACATGTTTATGCGAATAACTATTGAATTGTAAAGTTTAGAAGGAAAACATTTTTTTCCTCTGGCTCATGCAGAGTCGAATACATAATTATCATCGAAATAAGTCATCGAAAGCTTGTCGATAAACTAAACCGTTCTCGAATAACGTATCAAACTTTTTATGTGTCATTGTCACCTCACACTGACCACACCATAATAATGTGATAAAACCACCACCTATTGGTCAAAAGTGATAAGCATTTAAATCGTATTATTAGTGATTGTATTTGTGATTTTTCAGCCATTTCGACTATAATAATCTATCAATATTTTTAACCACTCATTGTTGCAGTTGGTCTGATGCTCCCAGCCCTGCTTAGCTCCTCATTTGGCCTCTGTTGTGCTTGACCCCGTAATTGCTGCTTGCAGCTATATTTTACATTGTTGTTGTCCTCATGTCTTTGCTAGGCGTCCTGATTGATCTAGGTATAGAGGACGCCTCATTAGCCCTGCAGAAGTCTGACAAGTATGTGGTGCGTCTGGACGCGGAGGTCCACACAAAAATGGAGGCCTTCATGAGAAAGGTCAAGCAGGACCCTTACACGCTCTTCGTCCTCATTCACGACAACTCGCACGTCGACCTGACCAGGTAAGAAAAACAGCTACGTGGTTTGTAAAAGGGACTGTCAGAAATGTCAGTGTTAAGACTTCTTGTCTCTCTTCTCTCTCTCTGTCAGCGCTCTGTCAGGGTCGGTTTGTCACGGGGAGTTGCAGGGATTGGCCGACCGCGTGGTGAACTGTCCAGAGGTTCTGGAAGCAATAAACCTGCTGGTTCTGCAGGTCAGCTGCTTCCCGTTCACCCTGCAGAGCCGTCAGTCACGCATCAGTACCCAGAATGAAGTGCACTGGCCCAACACTGACGACCTGGTGAGTTTCACTGACCCCGAGAAGAACTGTAAAGGAATTTATGGAGGACAGATAAGACTTCAGCTAAATGAGATGATTGACAAGTATTTTAAGTGTACATGCGTACACTACTGCTCAGTACAGTATTTTTTAAAGCATACTTTTATTCAACAGGGATGCATTAAATTGATTAAAAGTGACAGTATAAGACATTTATAATGTTAACAATATTTCAAATAAATGCCGTTATTTTGAACTTTCTATTCATCAATAATCATGAAAAAAAAAGTTTCACAGTTTCCACAAAAACACTGTTTTCAACATTGATAATAACCAGATATGTTTCTTCAGCAGCAAATCATCATATTAGAATGATTTCTGAAGGATCAAGACTGCAGTAATGATGCTGAAAATTCAGCTTTACATCACAGGAATAAACTACATTTCAAAATATATTCAAATAGAAACCAGCTATTTTCAATTGTAATACTATTTCACAATATATTACTATTTTACTGTATTTTTTAACAAATAAATGCAACCTTGGTGAGCAGAAGAGACTTTCAAATACATGAAAAATTTTAATGACCCCAAACTTTTGAATGGTAGCGTACATAAACACAGTTTCATGCACAAATTTAGAGGCGCATTTAATAATGCAAAATTTATCTTTACATTTTTCCTCTTGTTCCTTTTATTTAGTTTTCTGTAGGTCTCCTAATTCGAGTAAAGCAATCTCCAGAATGGTGGTCAATCAGTATTTATTATTATTATTATTTTGAATAATTGATGTTGAAGCTTTTATATTTAGTGCCTCATTTTTAAATACTGTATGTGGTTACGGTCTTGGTTTTGATGTTGGATTGTTCAAGTTTTTTGGTTTAACAAATTATGGGTGTTCTCACAAAGGTTAGTAGCCATTAATGTTTTTTTTTCTTCTCTGTGAATAAAGTCTTTCCAGCACATTCTGTGCTTTGTGGTTAAGCTTGGATCCCAGGAAGTTTGTAACTTTAAAAAAAATCTTTACTGCAGCAGTTTCAATGTAAATTCACACAATCACATTTTTAACAAACTGTGGTGTGATATTAATGTCAGAGATTCCTATTCATCAGACACATTAAAATGAATCTGGATTCTTGTTATTTTATAATGACCTAGATGTGTTCATAGACAAGAACTATAAGAGTAAAAAGAGAACAACACTGTGTTTTGCTCAGTAAAGTAAAATGAGCAGATTACTGTTTGCATGTAACAGCAGGCTGAGGCTTCTCCCAAGGACCTGGTCTACTTTGGGCTGAAGGACTACAGCAGGTCCCTGCAGTGGGGAGTGGCGAGTCCGATCCTTCGCTGTGACGACGCCTTTGAACGGATGGTCAAAACCCTGCTGGAGAGGTCAGTCCCATTTTCATATTCACTCAGAATGTACTTCTAAAAAAACATTACGAGAACAAAATGAGCATTTAAAGCAAGTTGCATTCCTTTTTAACTGCTTTTTACACTGTAAATGCATAACTATATCTTTAAGTTCATCTCAGACCACTGTTATTAGAGTATTAATGAAATAGTTTCGTAGTGTTTATCAGTATTTTTTATTTATATATATATATATATATTTTGTAATTTTTGTAATTTGTATTTTTGTCATTTTCATTATAGTTTTTTTTTTTTTAATATGTCTATATAGTTTTTATAATTTTTTTATTTCAGGTTCAGTTTTAGTTATTTTAGTACATCAGGTAAAACTAAATAAAACTGAGAAATATTTCTGGTAACACTTTAGTTTAGGGAACACATTTTTCCCTCAATAAACTCCTAATTTGATGCTTATTGGTAGTTGCCGTAATTAAGTTTAGGTATGGGGTAGGGTTAAGGGATCTAAAATATGGTCATGTATTAATATGTGCTTAATAAGTACTAATAAATAGCCAATATGCTAGTAATATGCTAATAAACAGAGCAGATCCTCCCTATACGCAAAATACGCACACTGCGTAGGGCCCCCCGAAACACCAGGGGCCCCCTTGCTCTCAAAGATGATTTAATTTTAGTTTCGTTTTTGAATTTGTCCAGCAGTTATGAAAACATGAATGATCTTTTATTTTAAAACGGTGCACTGTCGCCCTTTTTACTTAAAAATCAGTCAAATCATGCAATGTGAATGTCGTACAGTCATGCTCGAGACCAAATAAAACGAGTTGAAAGCGTACCAAGCCGCGGAAGAGACACTGTTTCTCAAGCGCTTTCCAGGAGCGCGATTCGAGACAGTGTGAAACACGGACAAATGCATTTCATTCGTTTATTCATAACCACCCCCCCCCCCACACAGTTTTGCGTAGGGCCCCCAGAAGTCTAGGATCCGCACTGCTAATACACAAATAGTTAATAGTGAGAAGAGTTCCCTAATGTAAACTTTTATCATTTTCCATGGAAATAAATATACGTGTTTTTTTATTTATTTTAGATTTACATTTTATTTCAAGTAACAAAATTTTTTTTTAATGCTTTTAGTTCTTTTAGTTAGTCTCTAATAACCCTGTCTCAGACTCAGATCCATGTCTAAATTGGCAGTTTTTGTGCATTTCAAACCATAAGCATATGCTGTATCTTTCCACTGATATCCCTCATTGTGTCTTCCTCATTCATTTCAGGCACCCGCATTTGCACAGCATGGTGATCCGCAGCTATCTGTTGATACAGCAGTACACAGAGGCTCTGATGGCCCTCACGGCGGCCCCCTCACTGCGGGATCACGTGACCCCTCAGACCCTCGCCATGGTGGAGGATCTGCTGAGCGTCCCGGGCCGCAGCAGGCACGGGTGCGGGCACATGCTGTTGGTGCGCGTGCCCTCGCTGCAGCTGGCACGGCTGGCACAGGAGCGGCTTGAGGAGGCCCGGGATAAGCTGGGCCTACAGTACCGCTTTGCTGTTCTGCTGGGAAGCCCTACTGCCGAGATCAGCCTGCCAGTCCACTTCTGTGCCCGTCTGCGGGTAAAAACCAGATCCCCTCATGAATATGGGCTCCTTAAAATCACCAGAATAAGCTTGGAATAAACAATCTGTGTATTTCAGGCTTGTAGGGGCTGTAGGAATGAAGAGTGGGCCCCTCATTCATATGAAGATCTGGAAGGACTTCCATGCATTGTCATCCTCACAGGGAAAGATCCTCTAGGAGAGACATTCCCAAGGTACTCCATGTGATGTTGTTCTTTATATATACACAGTTGAGACTGCTTAAAAATGTTCAGTTCCCCTTCGGGAACTCGAGCTGCGTCGGAAAACGCTAGGGGGAACGCCTTCAGCGATACCAAGCTCTGAATCATATGTGTAATCAGTCGAACGATGGGCAAGACGTCCTGACCAGGAAGCTTTAAAAGCACGTGAGGTGCCGCCGGCGCTAGCTTTCTGTCATTCAGCGAAGCTCTCTGTGTGTGTCGGTCACGATTTATGTTCTGTGAGTCTTATTTATTGTTGTCTGTCCAAAGTGCACAAGCATCCAATATAAGCTCCAGCAGAGAGGCTCCGTGCCAGAGCCTGCCGTTTTTTCCCGATCTCCACACCGAGGTGTCGAGATCGTGGAAGAAACCATTCTCGGCCCGCTTATTCGTCCCTGCCTCTGATTATTATGGAAATGTGGCGGGGGTGTGTGGATGCGGGTT